TTTTTTTGGTAAAGCGGAATCCTTGTTGATTTCAAATTCTTAAATGCACAACAAGGATTTCGATTATACGCCTCAAAAAAAGAAAAAAGGTTACAAACCCGCTTCGAGATCGTCTCCGACTTCTGCTCTAACGCTTTTATCCATGAGTGCATCACCTGATCCTCGCCTTTGCACTAAAATGAAAAACGTGTGAGAAAGGAGAACGATAACAGGTGAAGCGAGTTCTTCATCAGGTTTAGAGTTGTTTGGAATTTAAGGTAATCTTGACATTTTTATTTCAAAAATGAACCGTGAGAGAACACGATGCTCTCTTCAATTTTGTTCCTAAATGTGATGAGTGAATGTGACCAATAACCGACGAAGGCTTTTGGGCACATCTAAATAACATAACATGCAGTGAGATTATCCGGAACGCAAAATTTGAAAAGAATGTCTGCCTTGTCCCCGGAACTTTTTCGGTCTGCTTACGACATATCGAGCAGGGTTTAAAATCATATAAAACATTGCAAAAAGACATCACATTCCAACATACATAGTACTGAATTTCAGTACAACACGTAGCCTCAATACACCATCTATACATAAGGTGGGAGTACCATACGCTCTCACGGTCCTTAACTTGTAAAAAATCGAATAGTTGACAGAAGTTGTTACTCAATGCTGGATAACTTCACCGCTGTTTTGAACAGAAACGATTAAGAGCCAACTTTCAATTTTTGAGCTATTAATTTTGTAAACACCCTGCGAGTAATATTGAACTCACAGTTATACCATCGATATCTTTCGGACGCTTCGGCTTCTTAGGGGTTCGTACATTGACTATTTTTGCGGGCTCAGGTCGTTTATCCTCTGCCGGCTGCCAACAATCTAGTGGTATCTCCTGGAAAATATTAGCCACTGCGGAATGATGTTTACTGCAGGTGAAACTCACCGCTCGTGCTTTTTGATCCAGAGGTATTACTCCGTTAGGCATCCGTTCTTCAGGATCAGGAGATGCTGGCGCATCCGGTGATGCAGGACCTTCCGGATCGGGTGAAGCTGGGGCATC